GCATGAAATGCACAAGCAACTGCAACTATGACTATGCAACTTAAAAGAAATCCTAAACCCTAAACCCTAAACCCAACATTCCTTGACAAGAACCCAGTCCTGGGAATCTTTGGACATCATCCGCAGCACCAGAGACACAACTGCACGCCATCTCTCGTCATGCAACCTGGGCTCTTGTGAGGTTTTGGGTTTAGGGTTTAGGGTTTAGGGTTTAGGGTTTAGGGTTTAGGGTTTAGGTTTAGGGTTTAGGGTTTAGGGGGTTAGGTTACCACAGTTAGGAAACCCTGTGATTTACTATAGATCCCTACTATGGTAACTTAAACCGAGCTCTTTAACCCCTGAACCTGCATGAAACCTTTAAAGGAACTCTACATCATGGCACCTTAGATACAAGCTCCTCCACAAGAGCCCAGCAACTCGGGAACCTCCGCCTCACAGAGCTCTGTCTTCTCCAGCGTCTCATCCTGCGTCTTCCCCCAAAAGGGCAAAGCCCGAAACATCATGAAGTAGCTGAGAACTCCTAAGGCGAAGACGTCCACCAGCTCGTCGTAGCCTGGGTTCGGGGTTCGAGCAAACAAGGGATCCGCAGCAAATTCTTTGCTTAAACTGAACTTCTTCACAAGAACACAACCCTAAACCCTGCATTCCTTAACAAGAACTCCTTAGCCCCCACATCTAGGACATTCTCAGATGGGTAGTTACCGTCATAGGAGCCTATTGGAAACCTATATACCCTAAACTCCCCACACCTGTAGTTCCCTTTACCTAAACCCTTAACCTTTAGCCTTTAAGCCATAAACCCCTAAACCCTAAACCCTTAAACCTTTAACCCTTCAACCCTAAAGCCTTAGCCCTAAAACCCAAAACTCCCGGTTCCTTAACGCGAACCCGGTAGCCGCCCTCCCTTGGAGAGATGATCTCCGGCGCCGCGTAGCCAGGCGACCCGATGGCTGCGCACATGGCCTCCTTGTCATCGCCTTAGGATTTAGGGTTTTGGGGTTTTGGGGTTTAGGGTTTTAGGGTTTTGGGGTGTCGGGGTTTAGGGAAAAGGTTTCGGGGTTTAGGGAACTGAAGGTGGGGAGTTTAGGGTAACAGGGCTTCCATAAGGCTTCTATGAGGTATGTAGACCTTCTATAAGGCTCCTATAACGGTAACTACCCACCTGAACATGTCTTAGACTTAGGAACCGATTGCCGTGATAACACGATAAATACATGCTATTACTGTGACTATTACTACTACAGTTGTATTACAACTGTGACTATGACGATGACCATGACTATGACAATGACCGCGGCTGTGACTCTGACTATGACTAATACCACTACCATTAACTGTTTAATTTAGGCTCCGACATCAGGGAAAGTAAGAATAGTCCCACATGCCCCCTAGTTTCGGTATGCCGCAATGCCAAAGTCGATGAGCACGGCGCGTTCCTTCTGCATGACCACATTCTCGGCTTTAACATCTCGGTGGACGATGTTCAAGCAGTGCAGGTGTGCCAAGGCTGATGACAAGCCGACTTGAATTTCCAGAATGAAGCCCAACCTAAGTTCTTGTTAAGGGATTTACTTTAAGTTATCATAATAGGGGTCTATAGCAAATAGTAGGGTTTCCTTATTATTATTGTTAGTATTATTGTTATTTTTTTATTATAGTAACTTAAGCTTCAATCCCTTAAAAAAAGCGCCCAGCAACGGCAAATTATCGGCCTTGATGGTGCTGAAGAGATCACTGCCGGTGCAGTGCTCCATCGCAAGGAGCCACGTCACGCTGGACTTCGTCTTTACCTCTGCCTGGGCTCTCGTTTTTTAATTGTTTTAAGGGATTTAGTTTAAGTTACTATAATAAGGAGACCATATTATTTACTATAGACCCCTATTTATGGTAACTTAAACTGAATCCTTTAACAAGAACCCCAGCTGCGTACACGCCCAAGAGGGCTGAGATGTTTGGATGGCCCGCCGACTGCTGCAGGAAGCCCACCTCCCGACGAACCATCGCCGAGTCGAGCTTGTCCCAAATCTTGACGGCCACCCGTGCGAAGTTGTGGACCTTGTTCATATTCAGCACATCCGCTTTCGCAGGGATCAGCTTCCGGTGCTCTTCATGCAAAGGGAGCAGCGACATGCCTGCGAAAATCGTCCCGTGGGATCCCTGGCCCAAGCTATCTCCTGCCATGTGCAGGCACTGCCGAACGTCCCATCGAACAGCTCCCCGCATGCTAAGACTCATGATGAGGTGATCCAGGGAACAGTCGTCAGCGATCGTGCAAAGCAGCCACACCGATGGTCGGACTCCACCGGCAGCACGAGGAGCAATCAAAATGAGATGCGTGGCCTCTGGTGCTCGTACGAGAGGCGGGACCAGCTTTGAGTCGACAGGTGCAAACATGACATCTGCAAGCAGCATCGGGATAAGCAAGGCCGAGTAGTGGTTTTTTGCCTCCCATACGATTCCCTCTTTATTCATGCAGAGCGATGCCTTTCCCGGCGGCCTCTTTAGGCCACTGAAGTTCCCGTACCAGCGGCTGCTACTCCTGGACTTCGACGTAAGCGTCTGTCCTGTGGCGGCCCGCTGGAGGATCCTCTCCAAACGGTACCTGCGCTCTGCAGATTCTGCAAGAAAGTCCGGCGAGGAGGGCTTAAAGTCTCCTGGCCATGCTCGCGGCCACGACTCGCCGCGGGGCAGGTGAACGCCGTGAAGCCAGCACTCAGGAGCACTCATGGTCCCCACTCGAAGGTGTGGAGAATCTAACAAAAAAGTCAGCCCAAGCTATAGCTCAAAGGGCTTCCTCTGTGTTCCACGCTCGAAACAATTTAACCAAGTCCCATAAACTTGAGCCAAGTGTCGCATGGAAGGAGCTGGAGAATGCACAGCTTATGGACCGGATGTGCAGATAAGAAGAAGAACAACAATAACAATCATCATCATCATCATCATCGTCATCATCGTCATCATAACACCTTCACTCCACGGTATTCCGAAAAAGCGACCCTAGAAGCCACCGAAACGCGCTCTGCTTCGAACCTCCAGAGCTCTGCCGGTTCTTGGCAGGGAGACGGGCGGGCTGACGATGTGCCCAGCGGCGACGAGTCTCGGCCGGAGCTTTCAAGTCTCGGGTTTAGGGTTTAGGG